TGTCAGAGCCCATATTTTCATCCTGAACAATCAGAATATAAACCTTGTTTCTCCTCAGCAGAAAGACCTACAACTTTGATACATGTTGCTTTCAGCTGCACTGGTTGAAGAGGGCTCCTCTGCTGTTGACACACATCAGGGAAATTGTGATGAAATGTGATATTATTTTGTCAGCAGTATATCTGGGAAGCTCCAGCAACACCATGTTCTGTAAACAGCTTTAGTTCCATGTGTTGTGACTTATTCTACTGTAACACTTTGGGTCCCTGCTCGGGACGCAGCATCCCGTGCTGCTGGTAGGTGCTGTGTGAGCATGAGGGGAGGTGGTGGGCTGCTTCACAGCAGCTCTGCCATCTCAGAATAAGGCACAAGAAGCAGATGGCTGCAGGGGGAAACAATGAGGCAGAGCTGTCAGCGTGATGGGATGGAGTCCTAGCACACCCACTGCCTTGCTGCTGGCAGAACCCTGCTCTGTGTCCTGCCCTGGAGAGAGCTCTTGTTGGACTTGGTCAGGGCAGGTACACTTGGAGGTACCTCCGAGATCCTCCTTTGTAAGTGGGATGAAGCACTGAGCAGGTGTTGTTGGAGAAATGTGGCGTTGTTGGTCGCCAGCTTCCAGCTTTCCTTCTTGAGGATCAGGAGCCTGAGGCTCTGGATCCCAGCTCTGTCCCCTTGGGTGTTTGTGGTGGTTTATTACAGCCCAGAGATTGATGGTAGGTGTAGGGTCTCAGGTAAGATAGGACATGCCGAGGAAGTAATGCCTGTGCTGAAGTGACAAAACCTGTTGTAACTTAAGCAGAATATTTGTTTTACTGATGCTTCTGGTTTTAGATGTGGAGGAACATGGAGACACATTTGTCTCCTCATTTTCCAGGCTGTCCTCCTGTAATAGCTGCCTGATAATGCTGTTCAGGAGCTCCTCTCGTGGGAATATTTGTACTGTGCAGCACAAGACTTGAATGAGGATTCTATACAGAAATCAGTACCATCGTGTTGATGGCCAGACTAAGCTCCGTGCTGTAGTTCTTGATCCTAATTCACAATTTTCTTTCTTTTTTTGTCTTTTGCCAAATACCTTTAATGCAGAGAACGTTATAACTCAGAAGAGATGGTGTATGATAAAAATAGAACCACTAGCTCCAGTTCCTCCATATGTTAATGGCTGGATTTTCAGGCAAGAGATTCCAGTAAGGTGTGCCAGCAGTCTGAATACCTGCATGTGCTGTGGCTCTCTTTGCATGAAAAAGCTGTTTGGGTTGGAGACAAGGGTGAGGTCATTGGGAGTTTGATATCTCTAAATTGGATCCAATTCCATTTGATTTTATTAGAAGAAATGAAGTATTGTAATTCCTGAGGTACGTGCAAGGTTCTTGCTTTGGAAATTCTGTCTTGCTTCCATTTATTTCTTCTCCATTATAAAATCGTGAGTGCATAACTTCAACACTGGAGGCCATCTGGAAATAGCTGGAGCAGGCTAAATTACACATTACATTTGATAAAAACTTTTCAAAGACCCTTTCTCAGGGGAAAGGGAAGGATGGAAGCCTGGAAAAAACTTCAGTAGGAAAAACAGACAGAGATTAGGGTTCAATAAATAGGAAATTATGGTAATGTTTTCATTCAGAGAAAATGCACAGGCAGAGATATTAGATGATGATTGAATACAAATGTTGAACCATCAAAGTGGTCCCTTGCCAGTGGCTGTTCTCCTGGTTTATTCTTTCTTCTACCAGCTAATGTATATGACTTCAAGATGCAAACCACTTTTCATCATTTCACGAGATACCTACCTGGATTAAAATAAAAGTAAATACATTAAATAATACAGGCTTGTAGGGAAAGTAATAATCTTAAGCAGGTAGTTAACACATGGATTTGGCTGTTTGGGAAGCTGTGGAGGTAGATTGTACTGGGAGGCTCAAAAAGATTGGGCAGTTTCATGGACAAACCAGACAGAGAGCAGCTGAACTGGGGTTGCTCTGTTTCTCAGTTAATGACTGTGGATACTGGAGGGGAGCAGAACACAGAGTAGCTGGGCTTGTGTCCTTTCCCACTGGAGACAGGGTGCTGACCCGGACAGAGTGACTCTGCCATGCCCTTGCCCAGCACCTGGGTCTGGGCACCACTCAGCCAAGCTCTAGCAGGTTGGATGTCTCGTTCCTTCTTTCCCTCCTTGTTTCCAACCCAGGAACAACTCGTCAAAGTGTGGACTAATGAATCATTGCAAGTGCTTGATGTGTTGGCAGCTCCTTGCCACCCAGCTTCACACTCTGTTCTGCTGCCGTAATTTTAAGAAACTATTGGAACAGTGCCCTCCTCCCCCAAAAAAAGTCTATCCAGAGATCTGGGAAGTAATGTATGCAGCCCTCCCCCAGTTTATTTGTACCAAGCCATTTGGGTAGGCCTTGATGTTAGTTTTAGCAGCAGAGCAGGTTCTAGTGAAGGAATCAAAATCTTGGATATAGTTTACCCTGAGAAGGTAATTGAGTGAGTTATTCCAGAATTGGTGAAAACAAACTCATCTGAGTTGGGAGAATCCAGTCCAAGACACCAAAATCTCCCAAGTCCATAAGTGTTTTGCTTTACATGGGGTATTAGTCATTATCCTGTCAGTAATGTTTGTTAGTTTGATTTAGAATTCATGTAGCAGTCTCTCACGCCAAGCTGTGTTCTCTGTTCATCTTTGCATGTACAGGAGACTTGTTTGTGTCTTAGTTTGATTGAAAAACTGACATCTGTACTTTCATCAGCTATTTGTCATATTTTATTTGACTCGCAAAGTCCATATCATGATGTACTTCAGTGTACATGTTAAAACAACTTAGTCCAGTGTTTTTAGAAGGCTCCTGTCTCTGGGGAGCAGATGCCTTGTGAGGGGGACCTGCTTCCCTTGGCTTGGCTGTGGGGTCAGTAGGTTGTACTTGTGCTCGCAGCAGAGAAGAAATAGGGAGTTATGGAAGTTTATGGTCTTCTCCTGACTGGGTACTCAGTGAATCTTTGGGTTTTCACCCCACATCACTGTAACACCTTGGCCCTTTGCTTTCTGAAGCAACCACAAGTCACATTGCAGGTGAGCCTGGCCAGAGGAAGAGTTTCCATTTTACAGAGAGGTGAAATCAGGGAGAGTGTTTCATCTGGAAGTTGGGAATTGGGCCTTTCCTTCAACTCCAGAGGAACAGTCCCCTTCTCCAAGAGCTTAAACCCTTTTCCAGTATTTGAAAAGTTGCCTGCTCGCCTCTGCTAGTGTTCCTGCCTTTTATTTTCCTCCATTTCTGCAGTGTCAGGAAGAAAAAATAAATCTGTAATCCAAGTAACATCCTAAATATAGAAGTGCTAGTTTACAAATGAGAAGTCTTTCTGATGGCTTCAAAATGGTTTTGTAATAAAAGGAAATGTATTTGACACTGCCAGAATTTACAGTCCCACCAGAGACTTGTGAAAGAGCTGCTATACCAAACAGCCTGGGCTGGAATGGAGCTTGTTGACACGTAGGGGTTACTGAAGGGTATTTCTGGCTGTTGCCATGAGGATGGCTTAGCAAGAAAAAATACCTTCTCTGCAACTACTGTAGGGCCTGTCTGTACCATCAGCTTTAAGAAAAAGTATTTTAATGGATGGTGGTTAAAGGGGGAGCTGCTTTTCAAAATTGGTACCAAGATATGGCCCCTGAGAGCCAGGAGGAAGGGTTCTGAGCAAATCTGGTGTGGGTGGTACAATCTAATACTACTTTTGGCTGTTTAACAGAGTAAAAAACAGTTTTTCTGGAGTCCCTGCAACTTTCAGGCTTTTTTTTTCTCCCTCTCTTTCTTTCTCCAAAATCTGTCAAATTTTGACTCTCTCATGTGTTGAGTTATAATTGCAGGAAGGTGTCACAGTGGTCCTCAGGTGCTGTCAAGCACAGAGACCATTCTCAGCTGTTTGAGATTTCAGCTCTGGGTTTAGAAGTGAATGGTCTTATTCCATTTGACGGCAATTATTTACAGCTGCATCCAGGGGTCCAGTTCTGTTTGGCACTTAGAGGCATAACCATAAAGGAGTTAGCAAAAATGGGTAGTTTGCCATGGTTCTGCTTGGTCTGCCTTTGGAGGCACTGTCAGTGTGTTGGGGAGAGAGGAACCTTCTACCCAGCTTCTGAGAGTGTCCAAAAATAAAATGGGAGGACTTAAAAAAGTGGCTGATGATAGAAGGGAATAAATAGTCTGTAATGAACCTATGCCCTACCAAAAGTAGTTTTCAGAGTGAAATAAGATGGCTAAAACAAGTATTGGAAGCTTGATCAATATAATTGTCTATCAAACTGAGGATCTAATGCTTCATTGTCTTCAGATGAAATTCCTTTCTTATTCACTGTTACACACAAGGTTTGCACTATATTATTTTCATCTGCAGGCCTCTTAAGGGCTTTATGGCTTGCCTGGGAATCCTGTGTTGCTGCACAATCAGAAAATGAAATGTCATGGTATGCTGAACATTGAGGAATTGCTTAAATGTTTTGCTAAAGATCAGTTCCCCATGCTGTGTGGCAGCAGTTTGAACAGCAAAACCCCAGTTTTTAAGGCTTAGTTTTCATCCACGTTTAGGCCTTTGATTGTATAACTTGTTTCTGTGGGTGCTGGGGCTTTGCTCTGCTTTTTGCTGTGATTTTAACTTGAGGGCTTCTGCTGCCCTCACACCACTGGCTCTTGTTTGAGTCCCCACTGTGCTGGGGACCACCAGGCTCTGCTCCTCCTTGGTACGCAGTGAAAATACCTCCATGAGCTCTCAGAGATGTTTCAGGTTACATAAACCAGGATTTAAAATAGTATCTTTTTCACAACATTTGGAACACGTGTTCGTGAATATAAATTTTCAGCGCAGTGCCAACAGAGTTAGTTTAACAGATGCAGAACTCTGTTACTAAGTATAGTTTCTGCAGTTATCTCCCCACACAAATTTCTCCCTGGGCATTTGCTATGTGCTTATCAACACTGCAGAAGATCATATGCATGTTCTTTTTTTTTCAGAAGTCTGCAAGCTTTCTGCTTTCAGAAGCTATTGAAAGCACGTTCTTCTGAAGCCACATTGAGTTTCAAGTGATGAATCAGAATTCTGCATGGAAAGATTTGGGTACAAACACAATAAGAAAATTTAGCAATACTTCTTTTTTCTCGTGGTTTTTTTCCCCCCATTCTTGCTTTCCCTTGGTAAACAGCAACACTTGCTGGCAAGAATGGGAATAACAGATCAATCTGCTTATTTTCAGTTGTTGGATTCATGTGTGTCAGTCATCCAGCTCTTTTCCAGCTGTTACCCAGTGAGAATTTACCTGGTAGAGAGGAAGATTTAATGTCTTGGCAAACGATCAGACTCCTCCCTAGTGACATTAAGCCCACAAGAGAACCAGAAGTCAGTTTCAGATTTTGTTTGGATGAAAGCCGAATTCTTGGAGTTTTCCCTCCAAAATAAAATGCTCTCATGGGTTAGGCAAACGGGATTTGTAAGCTCAGGAAACTATATTTAAACAAGAAAGGAGTTAATTGAAGGTTGCCTGTTCCTCTTTTGCCAAGCAGCAGGACTTTTGTAGGGTGTGAAACCGTGGTTATTAGCCAGGGCTAATGGGGATTGTCTCATTCATTACCATGCACTGTTAAGAGTAACTGTTGGTTCCTCTGTTCAAGCAGTGCCTCTGTTGCCAGTGCTGTCAGGAGATCTGCTTCATTAAAAAAAAAAACAAAGTCCTGGGCTTGGTATGTTAGTAGCCATTGAAGGGGAACATAAAAGAAATACAATAGGAACAACATACTGAAAAGAAACACGGCTTTTAAGGTTGTTGAGTGCTTAATTCTTTTGTAATCAAAGAGAATTCAAGTGCCCACACACAGTAAAAATAGGGCTGGGGAAAAGAAAGCATCAAAACTAGCAAAAAGGCTTTGGGTTTGCTGAAGTAAAAGGGGAAAAAAATGGGGGGAAGTATCAAAAAACCCTAAAACTAACTTACAAAACAAATAAGAAAACCCCTAACCAGACAGAAACCCCACCTTGTTTTGGTGGAAGTTGAGGGACATAACTCGATATAACCATGATATACTTGATATAACCATGATCCACTTTCTGTCCCATCACATCTGACAGGTGGCAGTGGAACATGGAGGTTCTGCATCAAGTGTGAGCTCTGCACAATTACTTGTCTTCTGTTCTGCTTTGATGTCCAGTAACTTATCAATGGATGTAATTTTAGAGAAACATTGGTGTTGAGGTTTTACGTCTCTATTTTTGTGCATGTTTAGGTTTTGTTGTTAAGATTGCGTTGTTTCTTTTTTGTAGGACGGCACAGTCCTAAATCTTTGATTAAGGAAAAAATAAAAGAGTTTCTATGAAAGTGTGTGGAGTGATGTGTGTGGCATTGCTTGGGAGAGGGAAGCCCTTGCCTGTGTCCTGTGAACATCACTGCTCTTGGGTTGTTGCTGGGAGATTGGCAGAGTTGGGTGTGCTTGGATAACTCTGAGGCAAGTGAGCTTCTGCTAGAGTGGACACAGCTCTGTGCTTTGGGAATAACAAGGGATAAGCTTCTCTAATAAGTAGGTATTTTATTTTATTGAAATTGATAGCTGTTGTGGAGGTTGCTGGGGTTGGTGGTGTGGTCTGTAGTGTCAATTCTCATCTTCCTAATTTGCAGTTCAGTTTGTTGGCACCACTGGCCTCCCTAGTTGTCCCTTCCCCACCCTGGTGGTCTTAACAGAAAATGGATTTTTCAGCAATTTAAAACTTTTTCCATAGGTGCTATTTCTTTCTGCTCAGCTTTTGCAGGCTTCAGCATTTGCGGTGCAAAAAAAATCTGTGCTGGGGTATTTTCAGGATTCCCTAAACAAGGAATTACTGCTCCAAGTCTGGCTCTGAGTGTTGCTGTCCCTTTCCTTGCATAAAGACCACCCGTGTAGTTGGATTCTGCGTGGATTCATCTCCTAAAAGTAACTTCAGGGGCTGCTGTTGGGAGAAGAAAACATAGCTGGGCCAAGGCATCTGGAGCCTGCTGTCATGTACTTCTCTTGTCTGCACCTGGGGGCAAAACTGACTCCTGAAGTTGTGTAGGACTTCCCCCTTGAAACAGGGAGCAGGAATATGGGGAGGCAAAGGAAAGCTTGGGATTTTCCATATCCTTGTGCTTAATTTAAGGCAGTGATTCAGCCAGCCAAGGGAGACAGTTTTATCTGTTCAGCTCTGGTACAGGCGTTGCCTCTTCTTGTGCCAAATACCTTAGAGGATGGGAAGAGACAGCACGGTCCTTCTGGAAACCTGGAGAAGAATTTTGGTGGTTAAAAAGAAATAAAATAAACTTGAATCTGCTGAGTTTGTGCTGCCATTTACACCTAATAGAAGAGAGTAGGGATTACAGCAGAGCTCAAGAAAAAAACCTTGAGTCTATGAGTGTGTAATATTAAGGAAGCCTTTTATTTCTGACTGATCTGTGTACCTTGGTATTTTCATGTCTCCTGGAGAAGGCTCCTGTGTGTGGTTTGTCCATCCAGCAGCTGTGGTAGCCCATAACTCTAAAGTGCTGTGCTGCAGGTCTGAGATTAGTGTTGAAATCTGCACGTTTATTTCTGAAACATGATACAAATGTAACAACTTCTGCAGATCAGCTATAGATTAGCAAATACTTGGTGAGTCATACCTTCCCCTTGCTGCCTTTTTTTTTTTTTCTTAAGCATGTCATAAACGTTTAGGAAGGCTCATTCATCCCAGATAGGTGTGAAATCAATCTTTGATGCATAGGGCTGTGACTCAGGGAGTGGAAACAAAAAGGCTACTTGGTGTAATGTCTGCTGCTGTGCTCTTGCCAAATGCCATGAGCAGAGGGGGAAATCTCTCCTGCTCTAGTTTGTTTGGGAGATGCTTTGAAGATTATGGATCTCGTCCATATAGCAGACACCCAATTAACTGTGATTAGGAGTGTTGTAGGTAATAGCTCTGCTATGAGGATGAAGAGAAGATGAGAAAGATGAATAGCACAGGATGTGCAGGTATTGGCTGGATGTGTGAGGGGAGGTGATGGGGTATTGGGAGTTCTGTTCCACAGGGAACAAGACAGCAGGAGAAGGGAACAAGACAGCAGGGCAGTGTGAGACATCCCGGCCTGGAGGGAGCTTTTTCAGGAGGGTTTCTAGGGCAGGTGTCAGCAGCCTGGCTGGGAGCTGATGTCAAGGTGAGTTTCTGCTTCATCTCCTCTCTCTGGCTTCTGTCCCTCTCTTTGTTGTGTATGTGCCTTTGGCCCTTCTGATGGAATAAGTGGGACTGCATCTCTACAAGATCCTTAGTTCTTTTATGCAGCACAAAGAGGAACTCAGAGCCTTTAGAATCTATCTCTTGCCCATTCTTCTTTTTTGGCTTGAAATTAAGTATGTCAAATATATCTTTAGCTGTGAGAACTTTCCTTATCCTTCCATGTCCATCTTCTGTCCCCAGGATGCTCCCCATCCCCTTCTTCTTGTACCTGCTCTTTCAGCATGGAGGTGGTTCTGTCCGTTGGTAAATGGAGCTGGCTGCCGTAATTTCCCACATGTTCTTCACCTTCTTCCTTCTCATCTTAGAAGTCACTATTCCAGATTTGTCTTGTGCTACATCACACCTGCTTCCCCTTCCCAGAGCTTTTACTGTGTCCAACAGATCGCGTTCCATGACTGTTACCTTTGTGAGCCATTTAAAATGATTTTATTAGGGAACTGTGCTGTATGTTGAGAGATGGCAGAGAGTGGGTGTCATGTTTTCACAGCTCTTGGTGGCACACAGGAGCCTCTACACTGTTCCCAGTGGGTGCTGTATACTCTAGAGCTTGCTGTCCCAGGCACAGATTCTGCCCAGCCTCTTGCACTCGGGCAGCTGGGGCTGATGGAGCAGCTCTCAGGGCTCTCTGAGTGTTTGAGCAGTGTTGCTGTTCCTGTAATTGCACTGGGTGGACAAACAGGCTGCTTATTGCTCCTGTGATTGCCCAGGAAATGTTCTGTCAACTCCACCCTTTTTTTCCTGATGTGTAGCACATCCCTCTGATCCAGTGTTGAGCTAAGCTGGAGAGGGGAGCAGAACACGGGGTGAGTCATCTCACAAAGCTTTTGCAGCAGGTGTCTGGCTGAATCTGCTTACCTGCCTTTCTTTCCTCATGGTCTTTTTTTGCCCCATCTCTCCAGTTTTTTTGGGTTGTTGTTTAGCAAGGTGCTCTTAATAGAAGGAGATTTATTAGCTTATTTTTTGCCCCCTGTTTTCCATTCTTTCCCTTGTGATATTCAGCTTCCAGTGTGGGAGATAAATTGGCAGGTAAAGATGATGTTTAGGTACATTCTGCTGCAACACTTCTATGGCAGCTTCATCCAAAGAAAGGGAAGGGGAAGGGTCAGGAGTGCAGCGCTTGGGGAGGAAGGAGAGGGAGCTACAATGCTGTTTCAAGTAAAACTTTGTGTTGGCTTTGTTGCATCAAAATGAGTTGACTATTTCATATGGAAAAGATATTTCTCCTTCCTTCAAAGGGAAGAAGAGATCCACAGTATGAAGTGGTTCAGGCTTTTTTGTCATTATTAAAAAAGACAAACCCTTTGGCTAGCATCTATTGTAAGGACTGCTGCTGTCTCCTGGCACTCTTCTGTCTCTCCTCATGTTTCTTATGTTGTCTGTCTTCTATAATTAAAGTTTTTCAGGACATGAGTGGTCATGTTTGCTATTTGTGTGGTGTTTGTACAAGATGCTGATTGATGTTGACTGCTCCTGTGTTCTGTGGCAGTGCAAACAAGTAATTAAGTAGCAGATAGAGATTCGGTGTATGTATGAGTGGATGTGCATAACCCCCCTGATATGCTAATATGGAGGGGGAAATACAGAGCTTTAGGTTTTGTGACTTTGATAAATTAACTGTTTTCAGGTAGTAGGTAAAATACCCAATGTGCTCAAAGGAATGTGGCAAATTAGACGCCTTTGAGTACAGAAATCTGTCAGGAATTGCAGACACGAGTCATTCAGCAGCTGCATTGTTTAATACTTTTAAATGTTACTGTAACTTTTAACGCAGATGTACAAACCTTTACCCATTTAAGCAATTAATTTTGTTCGAATATTATTTTGTTCGTATTAATGCTTTTGGTCCTCATCACTTTTTTACCAGTCAGAAAGAGAAAGCTGTAATAGGATCTCCAGTAAGTCCATTTTGATATAAGTCCACTCTTCAACTCCTCCATCACTGGATAAATGCTGTATGGTTTCTTTTCACAACATAAATATTTAAAGGGAACATAACTTGTCGGTGGAAACCATCTAATTAAAAGTATTAGGAGCTGTGTTTATTTATAACATGTATGAATAATTATTACTCAAAGTCTGGGTATTATTTTCTTGGGAAGTCCCTCATTAGAAACTCTGCATCATCCAGGGTGAACTGCACTGTTACTTAACCAGTTTCGGTTTGCATCTGGGCAGAGGCATCAGAAGAAACTGCAGAGGCAAAAGGAACTTGCTGTGAATATGAAAGCAAATTTTCCAGCATCCCAGCATTTTTTGTAATTATTTTTATATATGTGTCTGGAGCTTAAACGCTCTCAGAGCTGAGCTGCTTGAGCAGTGCAGTGTTAGTGCGTGGAGTGTTGTTCTGGGTGGTGCAGGGAGGAAGGGGAGAGCAGTCAGGGAGGGGGGAGTGTTTCCTCCCCTTAATGCCAGTGCTGCTGAGCATCTCTGGGCTGCCATGCACCTTCTGCCAGACTGCACTCCCTTGGTGCAGCTCTGCTTGGATTGTACATCCAAGCATTTGGCCCCTCTCCATTTCCTTTAGAACAGGGACCATTGTTTGCGCTTGGACAACAGTGGCTGTGTTTTCTAATTCAAAAAATGCCTTATAGAAGAGGCCTTTATCATCATCCCTGCTTTGCAAATGGGGAAATAAAGAGAGAGGGGAGCAGCTTACCCTCAGGTGATGGAGATGAGCAGCAGTGAGGAACAGGATCCTTGTCTTTGCCAAGTCCTGTGGTTATTTCATCTGATGTTAGTGCCATCAAGTAAAACTCTCCTGTGAGCTTGTAAAATAAGAATTTATTGCAAAGTATTTCAGAACATGGACAACCTTTCCCTCCATGTAGCCAGAGCTGGATTAGTTGCAATTACTGGTAATCATGGCCTTAAGCTACTGGCAGTGATATTCTTTGACAGGTAGGGATATTGAGAGCTCCATAGTCAGTGCTGGAGCTTTGAGTTGGAGAGGCCTGGCAGACAATAACAGCACTAGCAGGCTGCTTCTCATCCTTCAGGTTCCTGAGAAGGGAAGTTTCTGTACTTTGTGCTCATGGCTGGGGCTGGGAAGTGCTCTTCTCGTGGTCCCATGCATGGGGAGTGAACTCTGACTTGCTC